GATGATAGATAGATAGATAGATAGATAGATAGATAGATAGATAGATAGATAGATAGATAGATGATAGATAAACTGTGCAAAAATTCTAGAACTGAGGAACATATTGAATTAAAATGTTAAACTTCACAATAGCATCAACAGTTGACTTTTTAAAAAATATTTATTTATATAGCCAAACTAGTGGAAACACATGAACTGTGAACCAATAGCTGAGGAGCCCCCATGGAACTGGACCAGGCCCTCTGGATAAGTGAGACAGTTGATGAGCTTGAACTGTTTAGGAGGCCCCCAGGCACTGAGACCAGGACCTATCCTTGGTGCATGAGCTGGCTTTTTGGAACCTAGGACCTATGCTGAGACACTTTGCTCAGCCTTGGTGCAGGGAGGAGGGGACTAGACCTGCCTCAACTGAATCTACCAATCTGGGCTGAATCCCCAGGGAAGACCTTTGCCTTGGAGAAGGTGGGAATGGGGGCGTGAACTAGAGGGGAAGGCTTGGGGGTAGGAGGAGGGAGGATAGGGCAATCTGTGGCTGATATGTAAAATTAAATTAATTATAAAATAAAAATATTTATTAAAAAAGATTTACTTATTATGTATATAGTGTTGTGCCTGCATGTATCCCTGCAGGTCAGAAGAGGGCACTAGATCTCATTACAGGAGGTTGTGAGCTACCATGAGGTTGCTGGGAATTGAACTCAGGACCTCTGGAAGAACAGTCAGTGCTCATAACCACTGTGCCATCTCTCCAGCCCCAACAGTGGACTTCTTAAATTAGAAGAAGTAATCTGGGAAAATGTCTACCAAAAGGAGGGGGTGGACAAAAGAACAGAAAGGAATTGTTTGAAAGCCTAGGCAATCTATGGAGTTCCATAAAGAAAACTAACTTCCATTGTTAACCTCCTGAGGGAAGATGGGCACACGCAGGAGATTGGGGGTGGGGGTGGGGGGCAGTGACGTCCCAGCCTTGTCTACATCGCTATCACACTGTGCCTTTCATTTTTAAAAATAGGATTTTAATTTATTCTTTGAAAGTTTCATGCAGTACATCTTGATAATTTCCATTCCCTACTCTCTCCAACTTTCCCTAAGCCCCAACATACCTCCTGCCCAACTTCATGTCCCTTCTTTTTTATATAACCCATTGAGTTCATTTTAATGATGTGAAGTTTTTATTAGCCCATTATTCTTCAATAGAGCTATTTAAAGTAGAGTATCTATATGCATTTTAATCTCCTATTTTATAAAAAATTTTTGTTAAAGTCTGATATTCAAGAAAATTTCCATTTGTCTTTATCCTTTGGGGGGCAACTTTCTACTAGAGCATATTACAACCCTGTGCACTCCTAAAGACTGGAAGTGCAGCTCACCTAATCGCTGCCATCTCTTAAGCTATTGTATGTATCTATAACACAGAGAGTGAAATACAGAGCCTCCCTGACTTATGATGGTTTGACAGGATTTTTCAGAGTTAAGATGTTGCAAACAGGAGATGCTTTCAGTAGAAACATACTTCAGATTTTGAATTTTCATTTTTCTGTGCTGGTGATAAGCAATATAATACTTCTCTGTGATGCTATACAATGGAAAGCCAGAGTTCTCAGCCAGTCATGTGACAAAGACAGACAATCATGTTTCTATATCTCACTATGCAACTAATGCAGGTGAACTATACTCAGTGCATTTTGACTTACATTAATTTCAGTCTGCAGTGGTTTATTAGACTTTAACTCCATCATAATCCCATCAGTATCTGAATGTTTTTTACCATGAGGACTTCAACTCATTCTGCAAGTGATGTTTTCAAATTTTATCCCAAGTTTTCAAGCTATATCACTTTTGTATAAGAAGAAAAATGGGGAGGAAAAATTAAATCTCTAGCTCTGGTTAGTCACTAGGATAAAAATGAGGCTTCTAGAATAAATGTCTTCCTTCGTCACTTTGTGTGAGCTACAATAAAAAAAAGAAAAACATAGCTGAATCGGTACCTGAGTGAGAAAGGTAGAGAAATCCAGTCTATTTCACAATGCCCAGCATCTTTAGAAATAAAATTAATGAACACCTGCACCGTGGAAGAGTTGGATATTAAAGTTCATGCTGCCAGTAGCTACTGTACAATATCAATTTCAAATGACAACCTGAAGTTTTGTGCAGGCGCATTCATCTCTGTATTTGTCAGAAGTCATTTCATTTCCTATGATTCATTTCATTTGTACTATAATGTATTAGTTGGATACTCTATTGATCCTTGTTCCATACAATTTGGGCTTTCACAGACAGACGAAAATTCAGTTTGAAAGATAAGTATTGTAATATGCTCACCAGTAACACTAATGACATTAACAACAAAAAAAAAAAAGAAAAGAAAGAAAGAAAAAGAAAACATGGCTAGGTAAACTGCTATATTGAAATGCTGTTAAAGGTAACTGTAACTCCAGAATAAACAGGCAGTTCACTGGTTTTTGTATATTTTTGTATATTCGTTTCTATTGATTCACGGGCAAGCAGATAATTAGAGCACTATACAAATTGCTCCACAAATCTGGATAAATGCATAGTCAAATCTTTATTTTCCCCAGTAAATTAATAGCTTGAACATCACTTGCAGCATCAGAAGAAAGTTAGTCAGTAAATATTGAGTGACTGCTGCAGCATGAGTCACTTTTCTGAACCACAACAGTTAAAGCTTCAGTTGGCTTAAGGTTTCCTAGTCCTGCCATTAGAGGCGACTCATCCCTCAATTACTCAGGAACTTAACTAGTCTAAATGTCTGTCTAGCAGGCCAACCTCTACATCCTGAGAAAAGATGATCTGTTCATGCAATGGTTCCACTCTTTTCATTGCTTCCTTGGCTCACACAGAGATGAAACACCTGCCGATAGTGTGGTGGGTGGTGCTGGGTCCTGATTTGTGTTAGCTGAGCTAATGATCATTCAGATCCCATTGAAAAACCAAATGAGCCAGGCGGTGGTGGCGCACGCCTTTAATCCCAGCACTCGGGAGGCAGAGCCAGGCGGATCGCTGTGAGTTCGAGGCCAGCCTGGGCTACCAAGTGAGCTCCAGGAAAGGCGCAAAGCTACACAGAGAAACCCTGTCTCGAAAAACCAAAAAAAAAAAAAAAAAGAAAAATGAATCTTAAAATAAGGATAACCCGATTTGATCTAAGCAAATCCGAGAGTCAGCTTCCTATGACCCATCATTAGCTTGCCCCACCAAGGAAGCCGAAGATTAGGGTGTTTGACTGTGGGGCCTTCAAGCCAAATAGACCAAGGCCCTCAATAGACGGCTGCTGTGGGATAATGCTTTTGTACACTGTTTAATAAAATGCTGATTGGCCAGTAGCCAGACAGGAAGTATAGGCAGGATAAGCAGACAAGGAGAATTCTGGGAAGAGGAAGGCTGTATGAGGATACGCCAGCCCGCCATCCTGGGAGCAGCATGTAATGGCACACAGGTAAAGCCACAGAACGTGCAGCAACATATAGATTAACAGAAATGGGCTGAGTTTAATTGTAAGAGCTAGTCAGTAGTTAGCCTAAGCTAATGGCCAAGCAATTTTAATTAATATAAGCCTGTGTGTGTTTACTTGGGTCCGAGTGGCTGCAGGACTGGCGGGTAAGAGAGATTTGTCCTGACTGCAGGCCAGGTGGAACAAGGAAAATTTCAGCTACAGAAGGCCAAACACCCTAAACCCCGTAGAAGAGAAAGTGGGTAATAGTCTTGAATTTATTGGTACAGGAAAGACTTTTGGAAATGGACAGCAATAACAAAGGAACTAAAAACAATAATTAATAAATGAGATCTCATGAAACAGAAAAGCTTTTTATTAATTAATTGATTAATTAATTTTTCCCAGCTCAATCAGAGTACCTCCCCTCAACGTCCCCTCCTGCCCCCATCCACTCCTCCTCCTTTCTCTTCAGAAAAGATCAGGCATGCCATATCAAGTTGCAGTAAGACTATGTGCTTCCTCTCCTATTAAGGCTGGACAAGGCAACCCAGTGGGAGGAAAGAGTCCCAGAAGCAAACAGAGTCAAAGACAGCCCCTGCTCCCACTGTTAGGAGTCCTACAAGAAGACTAAACTACACAACTGTGACATATGTGCAGAGGGCCTAGGTCAGTCCCATGCAAGCTCTCTGATTGGTGGCTCAGTCTCTGTGAACCCCTATGGGCACAAGTTAGTTTGTTCTGTGGGGTTTCTTGTAGTGTCCTTAGAACCTCTGACTCCCACAGTCCTTCCTCTCCCTCTTCCATAGGATTCCCTGAGCTCCACCTAATGCTTGGCTGTGAGTCCCTACATCTGTTTCTATCAGTTGCTGGGTGAAGCCTCTCTGGTGATAACTGGACAAGGCAATGATCTATGAGCATAGCAAAATATCACTGGGAATCATTTCATTGCCTTTTTTTTGGCCAGTCATAT